AGGGCCTCTACAGTGAAGATTTCTCTAGTGAAAGTTTTAGACAAAAAGTGTTTGCTTTATTGCAATTCAGACTGATTTTAGAGCCTTTTGTCGAAGGAGGCCCCATTCAAGATAAGCCAGTTTACATGAAACAGCAAAACTGGAATTACATAAAATTTGTAAGTGAAGAATATGTTGACTCTTGAACCCAAAAAGGCCTAAAGATGTTGAGCTTGTTTTCATGTTGTGGGTGCTGAGATGGTCTAGAGCTATTTATTGACAGTGTCAGGTCTGAAGCAGATCTTGATTTATCAATGTTTAGGAATCAACCAAGGTAGGTGGGCCTTGAGCCACGTGTGAAACAATGGCTCATGCCATTTTTATGAGCTACTTTGGTAGTATTTGTTTGTCTTTAAAGAGAATACTATGAATCTTCTCAGAAAAGGATGTCATCAGTGTAACATCATGCTTGCATCTTTAGAGAAAACTGGATGCAGTCAAGCTATTACTTGCAAAGAATGTGTGCAATGGCAGGGTAATGGAGATAACCTATTAGTAGTCAGGAAAAAGTATACTGTGTACCTTGGAAAGTAAAAGCAAACTTCAGCTAATTAAATCTTTAATCAAAACTGAGATTTTCCTTATTAGAGTCAATTTTATTTCTGCTTGGACAGCCAGGATAAGACAGGGAAGGAGCTGAGGGAAGAGGAGAAGTTATCTATCTGGTACATTATTATATTTCTTCTTGCAGCAATCTTCTAACAGGATAATTTTTCCTAATCCTTATGGGATAGTGTATTAGGGTTCCCTAGAGGGACAGAACTAATAGGATAGATACATACATGAAGGGGAGTTTATTAAGGAGTATTGACTCACACAATCACAAGGTGAAGTCCCACAATAGGTGGTCTTCAAGCTGAGGAGCAAGGAAGCCAGTCCAAGTCCCAAAACCTCAAAAGTGCGGAAAATAACAGTGTAGCCTTCAGCCTGTGGCCAAAGGCCTAAGTGCACGTGGCAAATCACTGGTATAAGTCCAAGAGTTCAAAACCTGAGGAACTTGAAGTCTGATGTTCGAGGGCAGGAAGCATCTAGCGTGTAAGAAAGATGGAGGCCAGAAGAGTCAGCAAGTCTGCTCATTCCACTTTCTTTGGCTGCTTTATTCTCTCTGTGCTGGCAGCTGACTATATGGCGGGTACCCAGATTGAGAGTGGGTCTGCCTCTCTCAGCCCACTGACTCAAATGTTAATCTCCTTTGGCAATGCCCTCACAGACATACCTAGGAACAATACTTTGCATCCTTTAATCCAATCAAGTTGACACTCAATATTAATCATGAAAGAAAGGAACTACAAGCATAACACAAATTCAATGACATGGACAGATGTCAAAGCCACCACACAGTGAACTGAAGCAACTAAAAGGATCAATTTCCAAGGTCATTGTACTATCCCTTCCCCCTGTGACATTTGCCCAAACTCCATTAGTTAATTCATGTTTCTTCCCTGCCAAACAGACTTGTTAGGTGCTGACTTACAGGTTGCAGACAAAGTGAGAGCATAAAAAGGATCAATACCCTACACGAGTTGCAATGTGCAACAGAGAGCATAGCAAGGAACCAATTATCTGGAGTGAATGGTGTCTGTGTCCAGAGCGCAGGATTTGTTCAGCCTCCTGAGTTGACTTTTTCAGCATCACTCAGGTAATGTCCAGGGCTTGTGTCATCCAGGGAAGCCACATCATCCAGGGTTGCAAGTCCTGTAGGGTCAGTTTCTTCATTTCTGGTACCAGTTTGGGTCCTAGCCACATCATGTAATGTTTGATGTGTCATGCTGGAATCCAAAGAGGGTCTGAGGGGGTGTGAACACAAGCATATCCTCTTCCCCATGTTAGCAAATCATTTGGACCATACCATACGTTACTGTTTATATCCTTCCATAAAACTGTGGGGTTTATGTCTTGAGAGATTTTAGCAAAGTGCTTTTCTATAGCTGATTAATATCTGTCAACTAAATTTTTTAAATTAAGGGTAAGTAAGGCTTGTACTAGTGGTGTTGCAGGGTCCTTACCCATACTCCCTCTTTTTTTGTGTTTTTAAGCATATTTTTAAGGGTGTAGTGGGCACATTCTATGGCCTGTCCTTGGGGGTTACATGGGATGGCTGTGGAATGTTGGATGTTCCATGTGTGATAAAATCGTTGGAATTGTGAGCTGGCATAAGCTGGACCATTATCAGTTTTTTGGTTTTTTTTTTTTCTTTTTTTTTTTTTTTTTTGGGACGGAGTTTCGCTCTTGTTACCCAGGCTGGAGTGCAATGGCGCGATCTCGGCTCACCGCAACCTCCGCCTCCTGGGTTCAGGCAATTCTCCTGCCTCAGCCTCCTGAGTAGCTGGGATTACAGGCACACACCACCATGCCCAGCTAATTTTTTGTATTTTTAGTAGAGACGGGGTTTCACCGTGTTGACCAGGATGGTCTCGATCTCTTGACCTCGTGATCCACCCGCCTCGGCCTCCCAAAGTGCTGGGATTACAGGCTTGAGCCACCGTGCCCGGCCATTATCAGTTTTAATTTTTGTGGGTCACCCCATAAACACAAAAGTTAAGAGATGTTTAGTGACATATCGAGTGGATTCTCCAGGAAGAGCATGTGCACTAATTAGATGTGTGTCAGTATCAATGGATACATGTATATATCTTAGTTTTCCAAATGCAGGAACGTGTGTAATACCTCTTTGCCATAACTGATTAGGTTCTAGTCTAGGGCTAACACCTGTTGAAGGAGGGGACATGCCTGTGAGCTGGCCATCTGGGCATTGCAAGATAATTTGTGTAGCTAGTCTCTAGGTAAGTTAAAATTGTTAAATTTTTCCAATTTTGGTGGAAAAATTGATGTGATTGGGTGGCTTGGTCAAGCAGTGATGTCATAAACCTGTAGGTCTGCTTGTTCATTGCCGTAAGCCAATGGGCCAGAGAGTGAGCTATGAGCTTGAATGTGTGTGATAAAAATAGGATGTATGCATCAATACAGTAATTGCTGAAGTTAAAGAAAAAGCGCATACAGGGTGGGCTCCAGAGTAGATTTTATGAGGCTATTTTAAGGTTCTGCAATAAATAAACAGTAAGCAGAGTCACTAACAATGTTAAAAGGGCTGAGTGGGAAAAGTTTCCAAGGCCAATATCAGAGTCCCAGTCTCAGCTCTCTGAGTGCCAGTAAATCCAGATCAAATAAGAAAATTATGTGTTCTCCACCACATTGCTACTTTTCCATGTTTACCTGAATCATCAGTAAACAGTGTCAAAGAATTAGATACGCGGGAGTGAACTATTTTTGTAGGTAAGATCACAGAAGTAGGAGATAAGAACTGAAGGAGTTTAACAGCAGGAAGGGCATTCTCTATTTGACCTGTGTAATTGGGCAAAACTGCTTTGAATTGCTTTTTACTTAAAGGAATCCTGATGATACCAGGATCATAACCTAGCAACTGATTGCATCATTGGCAGCCTGAATACATGGCTTTACTGATTAACTGAATATAGGGAGTTAGAGTTTAGTTCCAGTATATGAGCAAAAAAAAAAAAAACAAAAAAAACAATTTGGAAAGCACAGTACCAGGGTAATCTGTCCTATTAAACCTGTAAAGGAGTGTTTGGTGGGAAAAATAGACAACTGAACCTAATAGTCTGGGACTGTGTGCTCTAGTGTCTCTGAGAGATGATTTCTTCTATTTCTTCAGTTTCCCTATTTGTTGCCAGTGTTGAATATCTGGGAAAATCTAAAGCTGTATTGCCCTTTAAGATAAAAAACAGGTTTTGCAACTTCTAAGTAAGAATGCCCAAGACAGGGTAAAACCAATTAATATCACTCAGTAATTTTTTTATAATAATTTAAAGTATGTAAGTTGCCAGTATTTAATTTAAACTTTTGAGATCTTACTAACTGGGAAGTTAGCATGTATCCAAGGTATTTCCAAGGAGAGGACATTTGTACTTTTTCAGGTGCTATGATTAAACCTCTTAACTGTGTATTCTTTGCAGCAGAGGCATATAACTTAAAAGATCCCTGTTGAACTCTGCTTTCAGGAATTCAGTCCCAAGCCCTAAGAGTACGCAAAGACACATGAGCCTAGGCCTGGGGATCAAAAATCTACTTCTTGTTGTACATCAGCATGGGGAAGCCTCCCCTGGAGCATGGCAGCTGCTATGTCTTGCCTGGCCACCTCATCATATTCTACCTTGCAGAAGAGATATTGGCTGGGCTCCAAAGTTGTTTTAGCTAGCACTGACAAGTCCCATGGGGTCCTATGGAAGTTGTCTGCCAAGGCTTCAATCATTCCTTTCATGAATGGGCTAGTGACAATTTTTTTTTAATTGTACTTTAGGTTCTGGGGTACATATGCAGATCATGCAGGATTGTTGCATAGGTACACACATGGCAATGTGGTTTGCTGCCTCCAACCCCCCATTACCTACATCTAGCATTTCTCCCCATGTTATCCTTCACTGACCTCCCCACCCCCCCGCTGTCCCTCCCTTGGCCCCCATAACAAACCCCAGTGTGTGATGCTCCCCTCCCTGTGTCCGTGTGTTCTCATTGTTCATCACCCACCTGTGAGAACGTGCGGTGTTTGATTTTCTGTTCTTGTGTCAGTTTGCTGAGAATAATGGTTTCCAGATTCATCCACGTCACTACAAAGGACACACACTCATCATTTTTTATAGCTGCATAGTATTCCATGGTGTATATATGCCACATTTTCCTTGTCCAGTCTATCATTGATGAGCATTTGGGTTGGTTCCAAGTCTTTGCTATTGTAAACAGTGCCACTATGTACATACATGTACATGTGTTTTTATAATAGAATAATTTGTAATCCTTTGGGTATATACCTAGTAATGGGATCACTGGGTCAAATGGAATTTCTATTTCTAGGTCCTTGAGAAATCCCCACACTGTCTTCCATAATGGTTGAACTAATTTACACTCCTACCAACAGTGTAAAAGTGTTCCTATTTCTCCACATCCTCTCCAGCATCTGTTGTCTCCATATTTTTTAATGATCGCCATTCTAACGGGTGTGAGATGGTATCTCAATGTGGTTTTGAGTTGCATTTCTCTAATAATCAGTGGTGATGAGCATTTTTTCCTATGTTTGTTGGCCTCATATATGTCTTCTTTTGAAAAGTGTCTGTTCATATCCTTGCCCACTTTTGGATTTTTTTTTTTCTTGTAAATCTGTTTTAGTTCTTTGTAGATCCTGGATATTAGCCCTTTTGTCAGATGGGTAGATTGCAAAAATGTTTTCCCATTCTGTTGGATGTCAGTTCACTCTAATGACTATTTCTTTTTACAGAAGCTCTGCAGTTTAATTAGATCCCATTTGTCTATTTTGGCTTTTGTTGCCAATGCTTTTGGTGTTTTAGTCATGAATTCCTTCCTATGCCTATGTCGTGAACGGTTTTGTCTAGGTTTTCTTCTAGGGTTTTTATGGTGTTAGGTCTTATGTTTAAGTCTTTAATCCATCTGGAGTTAGTTTTAGTGTAAGGTGTCAGGAAGGGGTCCAGTTTCTGCTTTCTGCACACTGCTAGCCAGTTTTCCCAACACCATTTATTAAACAGGGAATCCTTTCCCCATTGCTTGTTTTTGTCAGGTTTGTCAAAGATCAGATGGTTGTAGATGTGTAGTGTTGCCTCCAGCACCTCTGTTCTGTTCCATTGGTCTATATCTGTGTTTTGGTACCAGTACCATGCTGTTTTGATTACTGGAGCCTTGTAGTATAGTTTGAAATCAGGTAGCATGATGCCTCCAGCTTTGTTCATTTTGCTTAGGATTGTCTTGGCTATGCAGGCTCTCTTTTGGTTCCATATGAAGTTTAAGGTGGTTTTTTTCCAGTTCTGTGAAGAAGGTTGTTGGTAGCTTGATGGAGATACCATTGAATCTATAAATTACTTTAGGCAGTGTGGCCATTTTCACAATATTGATTCTTCCTAACCATGAGCATGGAAAGTTTTTCTGTCTGTTTGTGTCCTCTCTTTTTTCATTGGGCAGTGCTTTGTAGTTGTCTTTGAGGAGGTCCTTTACATCCTTTGTTAGTTGTATTCCTAGGTATTTTATTCTCTTTGTAGCAATTGCTAATGGGAGTTTGCTCATGATTTGGCTCTCTGTTAGTCTGTTGTTGGTGTATATAAATGTTTGTGATTTTTGCACCTTGATTTTGTATCCTGAGACTTTTCTGAAGTTCCTTATCGGTTTAAGGAGATTTTGGGCTGAGATGATAGGGTCTTCTAAATATACAATCATGTCATCTGCAAATAGAGATAATTTGACTTCCTCTTTTCCCAATTGAATATTCTATATATATTTTTTTTCCTGCCTAATTGCTCTGGATCAAACTTCCAATACTATATTGAATAGGAGTGGTGAGAGAGGGCATCCTTGTCTAGTGCTGGATTTCAAAAGGAATGCTTCCAGTTTTTGCCCATTCGGTATGATGTTGGCTGTAGGTTTGTCATAAATAGCTTTTATTGTTTTAAGATATGTTCCTTTGATACCTAGTTTATTCAGAGTTTTTAGCATCAAGGGCTGTTGAATTTTGTTGAAGGCCTTCTCTGCATCTATTGGGAGAATCATGTGACTTTTGTCTTTGGTTCTGTTTATGTGGTGGATTAGGCAAATTTTCTTTAATGCTTGTTCTTAGCTTTTTATGAGCATTAAAAGAAATGGGTTCATGTACCTGATTGGCTTGTCAATCTTGCATTGCCGGACAGGATAAAAGCTCCTTTTCTAATGCCGCTTGCTTAAAACCGAGTCCCATAGCTGCAGTGTATCCCTTGTCTTTTCTTCTATTTATTGGAGGAGGGGGCTCAGGCAAAACCTCCATTTCCCCTTTGTTATTTTTGCCCAGTGATAGCGGGCTTGAGGGACTAGGAGTGGTAAAGTAGATGATAGTTTTCTTCCTCCTTCCACTTTTTAGGCTTTTCTGTGTGTAATGGGAACAGAACTGCCCTCACTAAAGCCCAAGTTTTAGAAATGACATTAGGACCCATTGCCCTTGTGCATGATGTTAAGATTTCTTCCTACTTCCCCAAGCTCTACATCTATCTTACCTTCCTCTGGGAACCCTGGGTTAAGTGATACAATAATTTACATTAGGTTTGTTAATTGAGCCTGCAAAACTGAGGCTCTGCTGGCTTTAAGCAGCTGTTTCAATACTTTTATATATTGCTTCTGTTGTGCTGATAACTGTTGTCCCATGTTGAAACTTTAGCATGAACAGTCACCCCAAACTTGGAAATCCTGAGCAGGCACCAATGACTTACCAACTGCACAGTCTTTACCTTCATTTTTGAGGGATCTGTCACAATTCACTGCAGCTTTCCTCACATGAGTCATCAACTGCTGAGGTCTGACCCACAGATCCAGACTTGTGCAATGGATGAATAACATACACTGGGCACAGATATTTTGCCTGTCAGTATAGCAAAAGGTCCGGGCCACTCACAGATACCAAAAAAGGTCTGGTAAAGAGCTGGCAGCCACAGCCCTGATCAGCCAGAGAAGTTCACATTTATTTAGTACAGATTAAATGAAAAAGGTCTTGAGTAAACACTACTAGAGGGTAATTGACATTGCTGACCTCCTGAGTAGAGAGCAATCATGCACCTTCAGATAATCAAAGGTTGGTTTTAAGACCAAAAGAGTCAACAAGCCATAGATAAACTCGTCTACATTCCTATGTATATACACCCTAAGCTTTTAAGAGAATTCAGCTGCCTTTGACCAAACCTTTTACCGAAGCTATGCAAACCTCCTGGCCTTCCAAGAAGGCATATATTTATTTTTCCTACAACCTTTGAGTGGTATCTTTGCTATAACCTTTCTTGCATACTCACAAACCAATCAGCATGCACTCCCCATTCTGGATCCATAAAAGGCTCCAGGCCCATACACAGGGGAGAAATTTCCCACCTTCAGGTAGAGGGACCACCCCCATGTTCCCTCCCTGATGAAAGCTGTTTAATGGCTCAATAAAATTCTTCTCTGCCCTCTTCACCCTTCAATGTCCAGCATGTCCTCATTCTTCTTGGGCATGGTACAAGAGCTCAGGAACCACCGAACACAGGTACAAGCTTTAACACAGGTGAGCTTGGGCACACCAGCATGCCCAAGTGGGGCCTAGGTGGGGCATTACCTGCCAGAAGTCCCCAGTTTGCGAAGTGACCAAGAAGAAAAATCCTACATCATCAACTTTTGAGACTCTCTAGCTACATTCTCTATCTGCCGGAGTCACAGTGCTTGCTGTTTCACAATCACAATATCTCTCTGCATACTTAGAAGAGCATAAGCAAGAACCAAGGAAGCCTTCTTTGATCTTTCTTGCTGCTGCTCAGTCCCACTAAGAGTTAGAACATAGGGAAAGCTTATTGTCTTCATTCTTGAAAATGATTTGAGTAAAAATATTCTTTAACAGATCTTAGTGACTCTGAACCTTTAAGCTCTGAATCTTGATTGTAGGATCTTGTACTTTCTTTTCTGAAAAGTCATGTCAGAATCCCATCCTCATCATAAGAATGGGTCTGATGCACAAGCTTGCCCTATAGTTATGAGTTAAAATGTTAATCTATTTGTTTCTTTGATGCTGGTAAAGAAACACCCGAGACTCTTGGTTTAGAGAGAAAAGACTATTACTCAACTCATGGCACATCAAGTAGCATGAGCATTAGTATGTTTGTTTTAGTTCTTGTCCCTAAATTCCTTGAGAATGATGAGGAACACTCAACTGATATCTGCACAAAAAGTGACTTTAATTTTAGAAAGGAATATTGAGTTTGGGAAATCCACTGATTTTTGGAATAACAAGCAGTAAACAAATATGCTCTTTATCCAAGAAGGAGATATACCTTACCACTCAAGATTAGTGTCTGAAAGCACAAACCTGAAAAATAGCTCAGTGTCTCATATTTTTGGCACATTAAGCAACAATGAAGAACTGAGTGTCCCATGAAAAACTGTTTTCTAAAACTATAGAACAAATAAAATTGACCAAAGGAAGGAGCTTTTTCTCATCATTATGAAAATCATGAACTATAGATTCACCAGCAACCTTATCACCAGGTTCTAATTTTTTTTATTGCCTGATGTATCTACTATTGTTGTTGCAGTAAGTTTACTAGAGATGAAATATCCTCTGTTTATGAAACATATTTATGACTGTTAAGAGCAGCAGATCTCACGGAATAGCATTTGAGTTCTGATAAGGGACAAACTCCCTCCTCAAGTGAATCCTTGACCCCTGGTATCTTAAATGGGCAATATCTCTCAGGAGGAGACAACAGACACCTCATACAGGATAAGGATAGTTCTGGCTAGCATTTGGCAGGTACCCCTCTGGCACAAAGCTACCAGAGAAAGGAAGAGGCAGCAGCATTTGCTGTTTGGCAGCTTCTGCTGGTGATACCCAGGCAAGCAGGGTGTGAAGTGGACCTCCAGCAAACTCCAGCAGACCTGCAGCAGCAGGGCCTGACTGTTGAATGGAAAACTAACAAATGGAAAAAATTAGCTTCAATATCCACAAAAAAGACATCCACTCAGAGACCCCATCCAAAGGTCGCTGACTTCAGAGACCAAAGGTAGATAAAGCCACGAACATGGGAAGAAACCAGAGCAAAAAGGCTGAAAATTCCAAAAACCAGAATGCCTATTATCCTCCAAGGGATTACAACTCCTTGCCAGCAAAGGAGCAAGACTGGACAAAGCATGAGTTTGACGAATTGACAGAAGCAGGTTTCAGAAGATGGGTAATAACAAACTCCTCTGAGTTAAAGGAGCATGCTTTAACCCAATGCAAGGAAGCTAAGAACATTGAAAGAAGGTTAGACAAATTGCTAACTAGAATAACCAGTTTAGAGAAGAACATAAATGACCTAATGGAGCTGAAAAATGCAGAACAAGAACATTATGAAGTGTACACAAGTTTCAATAGCCAAGTCAATCAAGTGGAAGAAAGGATATCAGAGATTGAAGATCAATTTAATGAAATAAAGCAAGAAGACAAGAGAAAAAAGAGTGAAAATAAATAAAGTCTCCACAAAATAGGAGATTATGTGAAAAGACCAAAGTTAGGTTTGATTGGTATACATGAAAGTGACAGGGAGAATAAAACCAAGTAGAAAAGCACTCTTCAGGATATTATCCAGGAGAACTTTCCCAACCCAGCAAGGTAGGCCAACATTCAAATTCAGGAAATACAGAGAACACAAGTTTCTCCAAGGTGAAATAAAGAAAAAAATGCTAAGGGCAGCCACAGAGAAAGGTGAGTTTACCCACAAAGGAAAGTCCATCAGACTAACAGTGGATCTCTCAGCAGAAACCCTACAAGCCAGAAGAGAGTGGGGGAAAATAATTTACAGCCCAGAATTTCATGTCCTACCAAACTAAGCTTCACAAGTGAAGGAGAAATACAATATTTTATGGACAAGCAACTGTTGAGAGATTTTGTCACCACCAGGCCTGCCTTACAAGAGCTCCTAAAGGAAGCACTAAATATGGAAAAGAACAACTAGTACCAGCCACTGCAAAATCATACCAAATTGTAAAGACCATCAACACTATGAGGAAATTGCATCAACTTATGAGCAAAACCACCAGTATGCATCATAATGGCAGAATCAGATTCACACATAACAATATTAATCTTAATGTAAATGGGCTAAATGTCCCAATCCAAAAACGCAGACTGGCAAATTAGATAGAGTCAAGACCCGCTGGTGTGCTGTATTCAGGAGACCTATCTCACATGCACAGGTATATATAAGCTCAAAATAAAGGGATGAAAGAATATTTACCAAGCAAATGAAAAGAAAAGAAAAAAAGCAGGGGTTGCAATACTAGTCTCTGATTAAATAGACTTTAAACCAACAAAGATCAAATGAGACAAAGAAGGGCATTACATAATGGTAAAGGGATCAATGCAACAAGAAGAGTTAACTATCCTAAATATATATGCACCCAATACAGGAGCATGCATATTTATAAAGCAAGTTCTTAGAGACCTGTAAAGAGACTTAGACTCCCACACAATAATAGTGAGAGACTTTAACACCTCACTGTCAATATTAGACAGATCAATGAGGCAGAAAATTAATAAGGATATCCAGGACTTAAAGGCAGCTCTAGACCAAACAGACCAACTAGACATCTACAGAACTCTCCACTCTAAATCAACAGAATATACATTCTTCTCAGAACCATATCTCACTCCTTCTAAAATCGACCACATAATTGGAACTAAAACTCCTCAGCAAATGCAAAAGAATGAAAATCATAACCAGCTATCTCTTAGACCACAGCACAATCAAATTAGAACTCAGGGTTAACACTCACTCAAAACTGCACAACTACATGGAAATGACTACTGCTCCTGAATGACTACTGGATAAATAATGAAAAGAAGGAAGGGATAAAGATGTTCTTGGAAGCCAATCATAACAAAGAATATACCAGAATCTGTGTGACACATTTAAAGCACTATAGAGGGAAATTTATAGCATTAAATGCCCACAAGAGAAAGCAGGAAAGATCTCAAATCAACACCCTAACATCACAATTAAAAGAACTAGAGAAGCAAAAGCAAACTAATTCAAAAGCTAGCAGAAGACAAGAAATAAGCAAGATCAGAACAGAACTGAAGGAGATAGAGACACACACAAAAAACCTTTTAAATAGTAAATGAATCCAGGAGCTGTTTTTTTGAAAAGATCATCGAAATAGATAGACCACCAGCCAGACTAATGAAGAAAAGAGAGAAGAATCAAATAGATGCAATAAAATATGTTAAAGGGGGTATCACCATCAATCCCACAGAAATACAAACTACCATCCGAGAATACTATAAACACCTCTACACAAATAAACCTGAAAATCTGGAAGAAATAAATTCCTGGTTACAACCTCCCAAGACTAAACCACGAAGAAGTTGAATCCCTAAATAGATCAATAACAAGTTCTGAAATTGAGGTAGCAATTAATAGGCTACCAAAAAAAAAGTCCAGGACCAGACAGTTTCACAGCTGAATTCTACCAGAGGTACAAAGAGGAGCTGGTATCACTTTTTTCTGAAACTATTCCAAATAATAGAAAAAGAGGGAATCCTCTCTAACTCATTTTATGGGGCCAATATCATCCTGATACCAAAACCCGGCAAACACACAACAAAAAAAAATTTCAGACCAATATCCCTGATGAACATCAATGTGAAAATCCTCAATAAAATAGTAGCAAACCAAATCCAACAGCACATCAAAAAGCTTATCCATCACATAAAAACAAACCAAACACAAACATGACGTGATTATCTCAATAGAAGCAGAAAAGCTCTTTGACAAAATTCAACAGACCTTCATGTTAAATACTCTCAATAAACTAGGTATCAATGAAACATATCTCAAAATAATAAGAGCTATTTATGACAAACCCACAACCAATATCATACTGGATGGACAAAACTGGAAGCATTCCCTTTGAAAACCAGAACAAGACAAGGATGCCCTCTCTCGGTATTGGAAGTTCTGGCTAGGGCAATCAGGCAAGAGAAAGAAATACAAGGTATTTAATTAGGAAAGGAGGAAGTCAAATTGTCTCTATTTGCAAATGACATGATTGTATATTTAGAACACCTCATTGTCTAAGAGCAAAATCTTTGTAAGCTGATAAGCAACTTCAGCAAAGTCTCAGGATACAAAATCAAGGAGCAAAAATAACAAGCAATCCTATATACGAATAACAGACAAACAGAGAGCCAAATCATGAGTGAACTCCCATTCACAATTGCTAAAAAGAGAATAAAATACCTAGGAATACAGCTAAGAGGGATGTGAAGGAACTTTTCAAGGAAAACTACAAACAACTGCTCAAGAAAATAAAAGAGGACACAAACAAATGTTAAAGTATTCCATGCTCATGGTTAGGAAGAATCAATATCATGAAAATGGCCATACTGCCCAAAGCAATTTATAGCTTCAATGCTATTATCATCAAGCACCACTCTTCACAGAATTGGGAAATACTGCTTTAAATTTCATGTGGAACCAAAAAAGAGCTCACATAGCCAAGACAGTCCTAAGCAAAAAGAACAAAGCTGGAGGCATCATGCTACCTGACTTTAAAATATACTACTATAAGGCTAGAGTAATTTAAAACAGTATGGTACTGGTACCAAAACAGATATGTAGACCAATGAAACAGAACAGAGGCCTCAGAAATAATGCCACACATCTACAACCATCTGATCTTTGACAAACCCAACATAAACAAGCAATCCTTCCTTACACCTTATACAAAAATTAACTCAAGATGGATTAAAGACTTAAACATAAGACGTAAAACCATACAAACCCTAGAAGAAACCCTAGGCAATACCATTCAGGACATAAGCATAGGTAAGGCTTTCATTGCTAAAACACCAAAAGCAATGGCAACAAAAGCCAAAATTGATAAATAAGATCTATTTAAATTAAAGAGCTTTTGCACAGCAAAAGAAACTATTATCAGAGTAAATAGGCAACCAACAGGATGGAGAAAATTTTTACAATATATCATCAGACAAAGGACTAATATCCAGAATCTACAAAGAACTTAAACAAATTTACAAGAAAAAAAAAAAGACATTCTAAAAAGGAGACAATTATGCAGCTAACAAACATATGAAAAAAATCTTATCATCACTGCTCATTAGAGAGATGCAAATCAAAACCATGTTGAGATACCATCTCATGCCAGTTAGAATGGCCATCAATAAAAAAAGAGGAGACAACAGATGCTGGAGAGGACGCAGAGAAATAGGCACACGTTTACATCGTTGGTGAGAATGTAAATTAGTTCAGCCATTGTGGAAGACAGTGTGGTAATTCCTCTAGGATGTAGAACTAGCAATACCATATGACCCAGCAATCCCATTACTGGGTATATACCCAAAGGAGTATAAATCCTTCTATTATAAAGATACATGCACATGTAGTTTATTGCAGCACTGTTCACAATAGCAAAGACTTGGAACCAACCCAAATGCCCATCAATGACAGACTGGATTAAATAAAGTGACACATATAAACCATGGAATACTATGCAGACATAAAAAAGGATGAGTTCATGTCCTTTGTAGGAACATGGACGAAGCTGGAAATCATCATTCTCAGCAAACTAACACAAGAACAGAAAACCAAATACCGCATGTTCTCTCTCATAAGTGGGAGTTGAATAAGGAGAACATATGGAAACATGGAGAGGAACATCACACACCGGAGCCTGTTGTGGAGTGGGGGACTAGGTTAGGGATAGCATTAGGAGAAATACCTAATGTAGATGACAGGGTGATGGGTGCAGCAAATCCCCATGGCATGTGTATACCTATGTAACAAACCTGCATGTTCTGTACATGCACCCCAGAACTTGAAGTATAATCAAAAAAACATTAATGTTTAATTGTATATAATACATATAAATTATGATGTATAAATAATAGATATATAAATATATAAACTATTATGTAAACTATAATTTTATATATAAACTGTTATTGTATATATTGTTATAATACATAAAACTATATTACAAACTTTATAGTTCATATTGTGTATAATATGCAACCTATTAAAATATATAAGCTCTATTTTAATATATCTGCAGTAGTAAACCTTCTAAAATATTACACACAAGTAACCACATCTGATAAAACTGTTTATGATTTGTATCAGTTTTCCATGTAGCTATAGTAATAGCCGTGTTTTCAGACAGAAAGTTTCTAACGCATTTTCATCTGTTAAATTTTGAAATGTCATTTCTTTTTGATTTTTCTCAAATTTGTTTTAAATTTAAAATTATCTGTATAGTCCTAATATAAACAACCTTTTTTCAAAGACAGATTGAGGCTTACTACATTTTTATCTAAGATATATTTTAATTGATCAATAAAACTGTTCCTCATAATTATAGGTTATAGATTCACCAGCAATATTATCACCAGCCTCTAATTTTTTTTACTTTATCACTTTCTATACTGTTTTATTACATTACATGTTAGAATAATGTATACTATTATATATTAATTTATATGTTAAATTATAAATCAGTTACATATTGAATAATTATCACATTATAATATATAAATGTATATGTAGGTGTGAGATAGAATTAATACACGGTAGTCACAGGAGAATAAAATACCATAGGCAGAAGTTTTACGAGACTAGAGGCTAAAGACTAAGACTCTGAAAAAACAAGGTGTGCAAGAAGCTAAGACTGTTTGGACCCAACATGGTGCTGGATTTGATCTAGGCTTCTCCAAAGACCTCATTATACACTCAAAAATGTACTAAATCACATACCCACCAGCACCATGACAGTTCTGAGAACACTCATATTTGGTATAAAAATGGATGGCATCAAAAAAATCTCTACCTTTCTATGGAAAATATTTTAAATATTCCATCCCTTGGTTAAAAACTCCCCATAAAGATAAAAACCCCAAAGGCCGCTGTGCAACTCTCGAGTCTGCCCACACTCCCTTTCTTGAGTGTGTACTTTTTGCTTTGCAGTCAATCTTTGTACTCTCCTATCTGACTCATCCTTGAATTCCTTCTCTTGATGGTGTCAAGAGCCTAGAATACTGGCTGGGTTGGAAGTCCCACAGCATTTAGGAACCTTCCCAAGCCCACCAGCGACAAGTGTTTGAAATATTCTTTCTGCATCTGGCAAGCTGGTTACTTCTATACTGTATTCTCTTTTTGTTTAAAATATTAAAAAGAATTCAAAATGTTTGTAATTCTCTTATTAGTTACAATCACTGAAATATTTATAATTTAAAATACGTATGTTTAAAAAACTAGAAAGTAAAAAATAATTTGAGAACCAAAAACTGTCCAATTTTATATATTTATTTATAAAATAGCCTCAGATTTTTGCTTAAAAATCTATTTAATTTTACTCTAACAGTTAAAAATCATAACTATTTCACTTAAAATGGGAAAAAAAAGTCCAGTACAAACCATAAAGGAGGATATAATTTACTATTGACAGACACAAAGTTGAAGAAAGTAACAGATAAGAACTTAGTAGTGGTAAGAAAATAGCAGATAGAAAGGAAATTTATCAGAAGAACTAGCAAAAAGTCTGCCAATTTTTCTATGTTGCTGTCATTCTTTTCAACCAACACATACTCATGAAGAAATGGACAAAGAGGACACTGGTAGGGCTCAGAGAACAATACTCTAAAACGAAAGCCTCAGAAGCAGCCCTCTCTGACCTTCTGCCCTCCTGTCTCTGCCCCTAATTCTCCCTCAAGGCCAGCCATAGAAACTAGAATCTCTCTTTTTCAAGGTGGTTCATAAAAACCAAAATCCCTTTCCCCCAAAGCCAGATATAACATCTAAAAATATTACATTAACTGTACCCTGCTTTTCTGTGTAAAAAATGGACCACAAAGAAATTAGCTGAATACTTTATCTAACTGTAGGTCATAAGACCCCCATTCCAGATAGGATCCTGACAAATGTCCAGAAGGAAGGAATCCTGCACAGTGAGGCTGAGAAGAATCTAGACAGACAGGTCTTGCTGGGTTTCCATATTCAGTCAATTAGTATTAGATCACACCATTATTGTTCAATGATATTTCTACCCAGCTGCCCATACTTCATTGAACCTAACCATGAAAATTGAAAGTTTTCTTCTGTATCTTTGGGGCTTCACTCTGAACACTCCTGTGTCACGTAAAACTGTGCTTAAATAAATTTGTATGCCTTTTATTAATCTAGCTTTTTTCGGCTGATTTTTAGCAAACCTTCAGACTGCCAGGGGAAGCAACTTCAAAGATCAGGATAATGCTAAAACTCCTACTCATGTCCTCACACCTAGCTGACTTGTTAATTATGGCATGCAATAGTCCAATATCCTTAAAACAAAGGATATGCATATATATTAAATTACATATGTAGTGGCTAAATAATTTTCCTACTATCCTTCTGAGGGACTATGCTAGAGGAACTTCCAGGGTTGGCTAGAGGCTTTGTTCCCAGTGCCGGGAGTTTCCCACCTCTGGCCAGCTAGGGCCTTTGTTCCCAGCAGTAATTTTCCCGCCTCTGGCTCCTAAAGCGGAGGCTCAGTGACTCAGGGTCTTAAAACAGTAACCAATCCAGTAAAGGATTCAAAGATCAACTGATCCAGAGAAAGTCTGAAAAAAACCCTCTCATTGGATGAGAACAAGAAAGGGGAGGGAAAACTCAGGTCTATAAGCTCCAGCTGCCCAAACCTGCAGTGGCACCCTTTCCTGGTTCCCTTCCATGGTGTGGAAGCTGTCCTTTTGCTCTGCCTAATAAACTGCACTACTGCACATTCTTTGGGTCCATGAGTTCTATGTGAGCTGTAACAATCACCGTGACACTGAGGACCCCTTCTCCATTCATCGGGGTTGGAGAGGCCAAGAACTTGAGTTCAGGAAAATTCAGTTGCATTGAATCCAGTTACAATTCTAAATTTTCAGCTGGTACCTTGTAATAAAAGATAGGTTAACAAGAGAACAACAAACAGAAGTTTATTAATGGGTATATTTTGTATATACATGACAAACTCAGGGAAAGTGTGACTCTCAGAGATAGCCTAGAACTGCAACTTATAGCATCTTTAACAAAACAACGAAATAAGACTATGGGGGAAGTAAGTAATGGGCAATTAACCAGGAAAAGCACTGTAAACAAAAAGAAGGTTTGTTATACAAATATAAGTTCGTGGTTTTTCCATTGAAAAGAGTCACTGGTGATTTAGTCATCCTTCAAAATGGAGATTTTCTTTACAGATGTAAATTTCCCTACAAAAGAATAACTTC